TTCTCCAAAATTAGAATACATCTTGATATTGCTGGGATTATCAGATTTGCCATTTAAACATAAAAATTCATCAAGTGACTGAGGCCTATGAAAAATAAGCCAAGTAATAACTTGCTTCTGTGTTTACACTTCTTCAAAATCGAAAATATGAACCTAATGACCTAGTCCAGTGGTTCTCTTGCTCTGGCGTGCATTAGAAATACCTAAAGGTCTTGTTAAGACAATATTGATGGACCTCATCCCCAGAGGTTCTTATTTAGGAGGTGTTCAGAAGTACCAAAAATTTGCGTTTCTAACAAGTTCCCAAGTGATGCTAGTTATGCTTGTTGATGATTGCACTTTGAGAACCACTGCCTCAGTAACTATAACAACTAATTGTGTGTCAGCTTGGCTAGACCACAGTACCCAGCTGCTTGGCCAAACATTGGTCTAGGTGCTGCTGTGAAGGTTTTTTTTTGTTTGTTTTTCCTCCATAACATGGGAGGGCCTCAGCCAATCGGTTGAAAGTCTTAAGAGCAAAGGCTGAGGTTTTCAGAAAAAGGAATTTTGCTTTAAGACGGCAACATAGATTTCCTGCCTAAGTTTCCAAACTACTGCTCTGCGCTTTGGACTTGGGATTGCAACAGCAACTCTTAACCTAAATTTCCAGTCTGCCAGCCTGTCCGACAAATTCAGCACTCACTAGCCCCACAGTCATGTACCTTCATTCCTTAAAGTTCCTAAAGATCAGTTTCTCCCATCTCTTTTCCCTTCTCCCTCCTCCTCTCCCTTCTACATACTCAGGTAAATAATTCAGGTGTATCTATCTATTCAGGTAAATTATTTCTCTTCTCTTTCTGTGTATATAGACTAGAGAGAGTGAGAGAGGAAACAGAGAGAGTAGGAGATTGTCTATTGGTTCTTTTCCTCAAGAGAACTGAATACAGTGATACTGCAACAAAGTGACAGAAAGAGAGAGAGAGAAAGAGGAAGGAAGGGAGGGAGGGAGGGAGGGAGGAAGGGAGGGAGGGAGGGAGGGAGGAAGGAAGGAAGGGAGGGAGGGAAGGAAGGAAGGAAGGAAGGAAGGGAGGGAGGGAGGGAGGAAGGGAGGGAGGGAGGGAGGAGGGAGGAAGGAAGGAAGGAAAAGAAAAGGAAAGATAAGAAAAAGCTAGAACTTTGCACCTTTGTCTCTTTATCCAGAATGTTTTTCCTTATTTTTTCACCATTTGAAAGCCTCTTTAGCCAGAATACCCATTTCAAATACCCCTTGTTGGATGAAACTTCCCTGACTCCCTCTAGACAGTTTCCTTCTTCTGTAGCCTGCATTAGGGTAGCATTATAAGCTCTTAACCACAGAGTATGATGCTCTAGAGGGCTGGGCATCATTTTAACCTTGTCAGCCTCATAAAATTCTTCATAAGTCCTGGCCCATAGCTGGCATTTCATAAATATTTTCAATGTATCAATGAGTGAATTAGTGACTTCTGTTTTTATTGAAATTTATTAATACATTGATAGACCATAAGGAACTACCAGTTAGTCCTAAGAAATGATATAAACGCAAATACCTATTTTTCACCTTACCAAAAACATATGACGACAATAGCTACCAGATAAATAGACTTTTACAGTGATAATTGAACACAGTACTCGATCTATGCATGGGCATCAGTTGTATAAATGTAAGTTCATTCATTAATTCCAATAAACATTTATTCAGAGCCTACTTCGTGGCTGGCACTGTGTCAGGTGATGTATACATTACTTATCATTCACTCTGGCACTTTTCCTTAATGTTCTTAAGAAATTTTAATGAGCACTATTAAGATAGTATATTTTCACACATCTAGTAAATTAGATGTTTTCCTTATATTTTAGAAATTAAAAGAAAATTAAGCAAATGGCACTAGAATTAGAAAGAATGAGCAATTCATTAGGCAGTAAGAATATTAACTAGAAATTGGGAATCTATTTCTTATTTTAATATGCACTTGAGCTTAATTGGCTAAGCTTTGAATATGGGGTGATGAGTTGAGTTGCTAATACAAATCACACACCTTTTATATACTTAATAAAATCCAAGAGTTGGAATGCATTTGTGTTGCAGACAATTTATCTGGAGGAGTCAGTGAGTTGGGTAATAGAAAGGGATAATAGGAAATCAGTGGCTGAGAAACCTATAAAGTAAATTAACGCGTACCTTACTTTATTAATTTATAACAATAATGTAATGGATAAATCAATGAGGAGTGCTTTGAGAGAAACAGATGGAGGGGAGAGTTCTTCCTTTTTGCAATTTGCAGGAATCATTTCCTCTGCAGAGGAAATGTTGGCCAGGGGTAAAGAATGTCTTGCTCTTGACAAAGAGGAGAAAAGTGTAACATAGCGGAATCTGTGAGTGTTCTGTTCATATCCCATGGGCCTTAGGACTTCAGAGAGCTTCTATTGACTTCCAATGCTAGTGTTTGAATCTCTTTGCCTGAGGACTTTTTCCCCAAAGCCTCTAGGCCGGCAGTGTTTGGAAAATAACTTATTCGCTGGTCCTCAGCAGCCCTCTGCCCATGGCTGAGAGGAGTTCGTATATTAACACCCCGGCTTCCTAGTTCCTTGGGTGATAATACTCTTAACCATTACTTTATGCGGTTTTCTAGAGTTTTCAGTCAGGATTCAGCTCATTTATTTATCCATACGTGAAGCTGGCTTGTGGTCTGCTTTCTCTTCCCTGTGTCACCTCTCCGCTTTCTTAGTAATGCTTCTTGCATCTCTCACAGAAGATGCTTGCACTTGAATCCTTGCTTGGGGTGGGCTTCCGGGAAAACCCTAAGACATGTACAAAAGCTGTTGACTTTTTGTGGCTGTTGTTCTTTGTCATTCCTGGGGAGGAGCCTGAGTTTTCAGGCTCAGTCCTGGCTTGGAAGTACTAGCTGCAGAATTCCATCAGCTGACACTGAAGGCTTCAGGGTTTGGAGGAGCTGGTGTTGGTAAGAATCTGCTTACAGGGGAGGATTTGGACAGAGGAAGGTGTTCTAAGACAGGTAGCTGAACTCTTCATTGCTGTTCTCTCTCCCCATCACGTGTGCCATGCAGCCTGCTTGTCAACATACACGTGTGGAAGACAGATTAGCACCACTTAGACTGAGCTTTGTTCATTTCCTACCGCCAGCCTACATTTGAGAGAGTAAACATTTGTCTTGGTAACACTAAAAGAGAGCATTTTTCTCCTTTTACTCCTGCATTGCCAGGCTTAATTAGCACTTTGCACAGACTTTATGATGCCTTTTGGCTATACTCTATCTCTGTTCCACTTTGAGAGGGATTGTTCTTTTTGAAAACTGTATGTTTCTGTGTGGAGGGAGTTTGTCTAATATGAATATGTCCCTTAGCCAGCATCTCCCACCGTAACTACTATACATAGTCTTACTCATCTCCTGCTTCCTCTCTTAAACCACAAGGGTCTATTCTGAAACTAGCAGTCAGAAAGGGCAGTTAAAATATACATCTGTTCTTGACCTTTTTCTATAAAACCCTCCAGTGGCATTCTTTCGCCATTCCTATAAAATCCAAACTCTGTCCTCATTTTACAAGGTCCCACTCTCTCATCTTCTTCAGATCTTTGCTGTTGGAAATAGGTGTTTGGTACTGGAAAGAAAAATCAGCACTGAGACAAAGGATTTTTTAGCAATGCAATTTTTACTTCCTGGGCTGCAGGAGGGGTACTCCCGGTAGCCATTGTGCCACCAGAGTACAAAGAACAAAGGGAATACACACAAATTTATTCCTTATGCATTTGGGGTTGTCCTCACTGCTGTGTCTGATTTCCATTGGCTGGAGCCAGACCTCAAAATCTAAACTAAAACCTGATTGGCTAACAACTTAAAACTTTTCTAAACAGGTAAAAGCAATGGAGAGCTGGGACATGCCGGTGAGGTGCAGCACAGATATTTTGGTTAAAGTACAAGGACATAGAATTTACTATGTGCTTGTAAGCACAGCATGTCTAACAGCTACATAGGATAAGGCTTAACAAAGTTATTAGCACACTCATTCTGTAAGAAGAAAGAAAACTTGAAAAGGACCTTCCTACATTTGCTCAAATGTCAACTTCTCAGAAAGGACTCTCTGGGCCTTGCTATTTGAAGTTGTGAGTTCATCCGTAGCATTCCCTGTCACTCTTCTCTGCTTTGTTATTTTTTTATAGCACTCATCACTGTGTTATTAACTGCATGTTTTGCTTCTTTGTTGATGATACCACTATTACAGTGTTTCCTTCATGTAGCAAAGCATATTTGGGATTCATTCATGTTGTATGTCTCTGTAATTCATTCCTTTGCATTGGTGGGTAGTTTTTCATTTTGTTGACATACCTAAGTGTATCCATTTTCCTGCTGAAAGACTTCTGGGTTGTTTCTAGTTTATGGGGCTTATAAATAAGTTTGCCATAAATATTTGTGTACAGGTTTTTGTGTGAATATATTTTTATTTCTCTTGGGTAAATACCTTGGAGTGAGATAACTAAGTCCTAGGATAAGTATATGTTTAAGTGGTTGTACCATTTTGCACTTTCACCAACAATGCATGAGAATAGTTTTAGTCCCAAATCTGTAGGTTTATGAGCATGAGGGGTTGGGGGTGAACTTCGAAAGAGTCCTTGAGACTCATTATTATATTTAATCAGAATTTCCAGGTGAGGCCCAAGTGCATGTCTTCCTTCCTTCCTTCCTTCCTTCCTTTGTCTCTCTCTCTTTCTTTCTCTCTATTTCCTTCCTTCCTTCCTTCTTTCTTTCCTTCCTTCGTCTCTCTCTCTTTCTTTCTTTCTCTCTATTTCCTTCCTTCCTTCCTTCTTTCTTTCCTTGTTTCTCTATCTCTCTTTCTCTCCCTCTCTCTTTCTTTCTTTCATCATAGAGCTGTATATTTTAAAATTTATTATTTAATTTACTCTTATAAAAATTTTAGGTTAAAAAAGACATTGTGCAGAAAGTACAGGGCCTTCATTTTCCTTTCTGTCCTCTGTGTGGTTTTGTCTATTATTAACATCTTAGATTAGTGTGATATATTAGTTACAGTTGATGAAAGAATATTGATGTATTATTATTAACTAAGGTTCATAGTTTATATTAGGGTTCACTCTTTGTGTTGTATAGTTCTATGGGTTTAATGCATAATGCCTTGGGTACCTGCCACTACAATATCATACAGTATAATTTCACCACTGTAAAAATCCTATGCTTCCCCTATTCATCCTTCTCCCTACTAACCCTGAAATCCTGGAAACAACTAATCTTTTTTGTTCTGTATAGTTTTGCTTTTACAGGATGTTGTACTGTTGAAATTATAGTATGTGGTCTTTTTAGACTCCCTCTTTTCATCTAGCAATAGGCATTGAAGTTTCCTCAAGTCTTTTCTAAAAGTTTCTCAGGAAATTGTAACATGCGGCTACGTTTGAGAAGTCCCAAGTTAGAATACAAGCTCCCAAAGGATCTTTCTTTTCTTGGAATATGTTTTGTTCATTTGTGTACCCTCAAAACCTGGAACACAGCCTGGCATATTATAGGCTCACAATAAATCTCAAATGAGTGAATGAATGAATGGTAAGGTCAAACCAGGTTTACAGAAACCTGAACATTCCTCACATTTGATTAATCCTCTCAATAAGCTCTGAAATTGGTTTCAGACCAAACAATACATTACATTGATCATTCTTGACTGCAGTTTGCCACTTCCTATTTGCGGCACCCATGCGTGGTCACTCTTCACATTCCAGCATACATTGAGCTTCCCTCACCTGGGGAAGTTCAATGTATGTTGGAGTGTAAAGCGTGACCTTTATTACCCTCATTTGGACACCTTCTCCTTCACTCTGCTTTTAAAATCTTTCCAGAATTTCTATAATTGATTCAACTTTGATCACTTGCAAAAGACCTACCACATCATTTCAGACTCTTCTCTGAACTCTTAAAATAATTGTTGCTTTTAGATTCATTGGATATTGTGACATGCTACCTGTTTTTCCTAGATGTTTGCCCTTGTGAACTGCTTTTTGAACATGATTGTGTTATTTTCATGTGTTTCTCCCTGGTGCCCCAACAAGAATCTAAGTACTCTAAAGGGAGGGATTACATCCTTACTCATATTATTCAGTCTTGATTCTCTCCTAGCACTTAGCATTGTCTCAAGCTTGATAAATATTTGTTTATTTGTTATTTTTCTAGTTCAGGAAATGATGAACTATGGAGAATGAGAATCATGTAAAGAAAATTGTATGGGTCCAGGCAGCCAGAAATTGTAACACTAGTCATTTAGCCTCTCTAGGCCTCAGTTTCCTCATTTGCATAATTATTTGTACTGAAGTCTCTAATTTCTTCTCCATTTGTACCATTCTGTGTTTTGATTATCCATAGCAACAATAGGGTAATTCAACAAATGACATAATTGGCTTTAATAGACATAGCTGCTGTTAGGATTAAACATCAATCTTTGATAACAACAAACAAACAGAAATAAAGCTGTTAATCTGAGATCAGTTCCAGTTTTTGTTTACACTGGGTTCTCCTTGCGCCTGTACTCTGTCGTTCACTGGAAATACCTTCTTTCCCTCTATACTTTCTCAGCAGGTACATTGAAGTTCCACTTCATACAGCCTTTTGTGGTTTGTATCTTTATTTGTTTGCTTTCTCGTTGTTTTTGTGTTTCCCCTGCTATCTAGTAGGTCCATGAGAGAGGAACCATATAGATCATCTTCATCATTACATTGGAGCCTGATCTGTAATATCTGTGAAATGAAGACAGGATCTGAAAAAAAGTATTTTATCAACAAATAAGTGCTAGAACCACTGCATATTCTACTTCTCCTTCTTGGAATGTCACAGTCCTGCATGCAGGAAACCTCTTGGCTTTTATCACTCTAGGATTACCCAAACTTATTTGATCATGGATCTCCCTGCCACCTTTTTTATTTTGCTGAGAACATCTATTTATGCCACAATGATGATTATATTAATTGCAAAGAGTGGTTTAGAGACTAGATGAAATAATGTATGTAAGGAAGTTACCATTGTACATAAAAAATGCTTGGGAAATTCTAGTTACTATCAGCAGAGAGGCTGACACTAAATAGTACCTGATGAGCGTTATTTACATTTTCTGACACTTTGGTTTCTCATCTTGGAGACTTTCATGATTTGGTTTACCCAGAAATTTCCAAGAGTAGTGTATTAGTTAGGTTAGGCTAAAATCTATAACAAACACTTTTAAAATATAACTCTACTTAGTCAAAGTTGGACTTCTCAGAGAAGTCAAAGTGGATTTTCTTGATTGGGCAGTTCTCTTTAAGGTGTGACCCAAACTGAAATCCTCCGCTGTGTCCTCTTCCTGTAGTATGGAGGAAAAGAGAGGGTTTTAAAAAATTATGAATATTGACCAGGCACGGTGGCTCATGCCTATAATCTCAGCACTTTGGGAGGCTGAGGTGGGAGGATCACCTGAGGTCAGGAGTTTGAGACCAGCCTGGCCAACACAGTGAAACCCTGTTTCTACTAAAAATACAAAAATGAGCTGGGTGTGGTGGTGGATGCCTGTAATCCCAGCTACTTGAGGGGCTGAGGCAGGATAATCGCTTGAACTCAGGAGGCAGAGGTTGCAATGAGCCGAGATCACACCATTGCACTCCAGCCTGGGCAACAAGAGCGAATGAAACTCTGTCTCAAAAAAATAAAAAAATTATGAATATTCATTTATTTATTACCCAGTTGTGAAAACATTGACCATGGATGACTACTCAGGAACTCCCTGTACTTTCTAGTTATATTTAGGTCATTGAACATCCAGGAGTAAAATGTCCAGTGTCCTGTAATTATCAAAATTGTGAGCATGATTTGAAAGTAATTAGTGTTTCTGTTATACCTGGAGCTTCTGAGAGGTGGTCAGTTTGTGGTGGGAGAGGGTGGATACAGCCCTTAAGCCTTCTTCATCACCTACATCCCTTTTTACCATTCTGTAATTTTTAAACACAAAATATAATAGTTTTCTTATGTTAAGTATGTAACTTGATAAATTTTCTCAAAAACACTTGTAAACCACTATTGCAACTGAGAAATTGAACTTTACCAGCAAGCCTGAGAAATCCTTCAAATCTCCTTCCAATCAGCATTCCACTCCCCACAGTAATGCCTACTTGACCAATATCATCAAAATTTAACCTGAAACGTTTTCATATTTATGTCAGTAAAATCATACAATCTGTATTCTTTTGTGCCTACCTTCTTTTCACTCTACGTATCTGTAAAATTCATCCACATTTTTGCGGGTAGCAATAATTTGCTCACTTCCATTGCTATATAGTATTACACCACCAATTCATTTTAGTCTTGAAATAAATTTGAGGTGTTTCCAGTTTTCTAGTTTTGGGTCACTCTGAAGAGTTGCTATACATGTTTTTGCTCTTTTCTTTGGTGCACATCTGTACACATTTTATATGTATTTACCTAGAAATGGAATGGCTAGGTAATGGCATATGTATATGCTCAGCTTTAGTAGATACTGGGAAAAGGTTTTCTAAAGTTGTTGTACAAGTTTATGTCTATAAAAATTTCATTTGCTCTACATCTTTACCAATACTTGGCATTGCCATTTGAAAAAATTTAACTATTCTGGTTAGCTGTGTTGTGGTAACATATTGTAGTTTAATTCATGTTTTCCTGATAACTAATGGAATTCAGCACTATTTTCTATTTATTGGTGATGTGGACATCATATTTCTCAAAAGGTATGTTTAAGTGAGTTTTTTTTTGCCCATTCTTCTATTAGATTGACTGTCGTTTTATTGACTTGTGGGAATCTTCTGGTTATTTGGGCCTTTGTCAACTGTATGTAATACAAATATCTTCTGAAAATCCATGGCTTGCCTTTTGCTATTTTAAAGTTGTCTTTGAGGAAGGTAAGTTCTCAGTTTTCATGTAGTTTAACCTGTAAAACTCTTTCTTTATGATTAGTGCTTTTGTATCCTTTTAAATAAATATTTGTCTATGCCAATGCCATGAAAATATTATCCTGTGTTATCACCTAGAAGTGAAACACGAGGAGTTCCTTATACCCCTCGCAGGGTATGTGACAGAAGTGTGACCCGCTTCTTTGGTTCCCTGCTGCTCACACCTCTAGCGGAACCATGCAGATGGGTAGGTCGTGGGGAATGTTTTGGGGTTCCAACCCCAGAGCAGCATCTAGGGTTGAGTGTTTGCAGCTCCCGAAGCCCCGGTGGGCACATGTTACAGTGTGCTCTTTCAGCTTAGTCATCCACAGGTGACTTGTTTTAATCAGCTCAGTTAGACCCTCTGCCTTATTGCAAGGGCAGAGAGCTTTCTGTATCCCAAGTTCTTGTCCTAGTGTACCAGAAAAATTGGATCATATGTGAGCTTAGAGGATGGGTGCAAGGTTTTATTGAATGGTGGCAGTAGCTCTCAGCAAGGTGGATAGGGAGCCAGAAGGGGGATGGAGTGGGAAGGTGGTCTTCCCCTGGAGTCAGGCCACCCAGCGACTGGACTCTTCTCCAGCCATCCCTGACCAAATTCCACATTGTCCCACCTCAATGGCTTGCTGGTGTCTGTTGCTGTGCTCTTCTGCCCCTCTTGAGGTGCAGCTGTTTGCGTCCATGCCCCCTATGGTCTCGGGTTTTTATGGGCACAGGATGAGAGATGGTGGGCTAGAGTGGTCTTGGAAAATGCAACATTTGGGTGTGAAAACAGAAGTTCCTGTTCTCACTTACATCTGTGGACACAGGTCCAAGGGTGGAACCCTCGCGAGGGACCTAACCCTTCTCTACCCAGCACTTCCCTTCCCCTCTTCCATATCATTTCCCACCTCTGAAGAGGTGCATCTAAGTGCCGTTAGAATATGGATGATGACCAGTCTTAGCTACTTCCTGCTCACAGGGAGCATTTTTTTGTGGGGGGGGAATTAGAAGTCAAATTCCTCCCAGAGAGGGTTCCTGGCAAAGGGAAGCCATCGTCTGAGGCCTGGGTTGCCTGGCAATTTGGAGTTTG